TGAGGGATTTCCGGGCAGATTATAGGGGGAATTCCCCTCGGCTAATTCTCGCTGAATTTTGTGGCCTTGGGGGATGACTGGTGAGAGTACAAACACGGAGAAATGCTAAGAATTTTTTCCAGATTTTCTAAGGGTTTTTTCGCATAAAAAGACAAATCTGGCTGCCGCACTCCCTTTAAAAGTGCGAAACAGAAACTGATCTGACCTTGGGTTTTGGTAAAGCAAAAGCTGCTGTCACGACACCTTTAAACAGGTTAAAGCGGGGTAAAGGCATAAAAAATCCCGAAATCTTGGCCCTAGTGAGTCCACACCTCAACCCCATCCTAGTCAGTCCACTTTTTTGGGGGGCTTGTCACCTGGCAACGTGCCCTCTGGGCATTTTGACGAGCCGGCGGGGGAGGATTTTCTAGGTGTAATTAGAGCGGTCTTGACAGGATTATTGAAGGGATTAGAAGCTTTCCTAAAGAATCTTGGCTAGCCTGCCCTTCCCAAAGAAGAATCTCTGCTAGCCTGCCCTTTCCCAAAGAATCTCTGCTAGCCTGCCGTTTCCTAGATAAACTCTGCTAGCCTGCCCATTCTTAACCCACTGTTCCGAAAAGCCGGTACTAGACAAAACGCACCGGAACCGAGAATTTTTGAACCCGCAAAACGAGGGCAAACGGTCATAAAAAGGGCAATCCCCGGGTAATAGTCATGGCGTGGGGTCCGATTGTTTCCCGTGTTCAACTCTGGCAGGTGTTCCCCAGATTTCATTGCTTCAAGTGGTGATTTCGGGGGTTTTGCAATATAAAATTCATCGCAAGCTAGCAGAGATTCTTTAGGAAAGGGCGGGCTGGCAGAGATTGACATTCTTTAGTCTAGTTCGGCGGCTAAATTTCCGCGCCCCTCAACCCAGAAAATTGATTCGATTGTTTCGCGGGCTGGGGGATATCCCCCAGCCATTCCCAAGACTGGTCGCCGTTTTGGTCTTTGGTAAAAAGCGCCCTCGAAGCCATAAGCCAACCATAAATAGCCATGAAAAATTACTGCCGCTGCGGGAAACCAGAAACTGTAGAGGAGAATTACGATCGGTACTGACTTTTGGCTCTCTCACTATCGCTCTCTCTCTCCCTCTCTCTTTCTCCTTTTCTCTCTCCCTGTCTCTTTCTAGCTGCTTCTCTCCCCCTCTCTCTCCCTCTCCCTCCCTCTCTCTCTCTCTCTCTCTCTCTCTCTCTCTCTCTCTCTCTCTCTCTCGCCCTCTCTCATCCCCCAAAACGAAAAAGGTGCCAAGAAAATACACCTACAAATTCCACTTTGTAGCTGAATCGAAACCACCATATTCGTGTGTCGTTTTCAGCCGATTTTCCCCAGTAGTTTTGTGCCCAAAATACAATCGCAAACAGACTACCGCGCGCAGTGTCGAGGGCCGAAATCGCCACGTAAAAAAAGTTCGTACGCCATTCATAAAATACCATACAATAAACCGGGCGGCGGGGGCGAGCTCAGGCGGGTGTTCGGGGTCAAAGAGGAGTGATGTCATGGGCACAAAATACTCTGACGATATGAAACCTGGCAGGGGTCGGCTAGCAGGGATTCTTTAGGAAAGGGCAGGTTAGCAGAAATTCTTAAGAAAAATGGGAGGGCTAGCAGAGATTCTTTAGGAAAGAGCAGACTGGCAGAGGTCCTTCGGAGAAAAAGATGACTAGCAGAGATTCTTTGGGAATCTGGGAATCAGGAATCAAAGAAAAGCGAATGCCGGAATTAGTGGCCCGTGGCCAGCGGCGTGCACGCTACAAAGCCCGGGCGCAAATACGCCATGTCGGAAAATGATCGACGAGAAACGTCGACCTAAGGAAGAGGCTGGCACACTCCCTTTAAAAAGTCCCAGCCGAGGGTGCGAACTGCATGAAGTTGCTGACGGCTAAAAGACACCGGAGCCCCATAACCAGGGTTTATGCACATCATTCTTGCAGTTTTTGAGGAGCGAGAGGGATAGAGAGAGAGTGAGAGAGAGGGAGAGAATTAGAGAAACAAAGAAACACAGCCACCATTCATCTTCAAAATGGAGAGCCTGCGGGCGGCTGGGATCACTTTTCCAGCGGGACAACTGTTGGCCGGAAGCCGCAAAGTCAACCCTGAAAAGAGAGAGAGAGAGAGAGAGAGAGAGAGAGAGAGAGAGAGAGAGGGGAGAGGGAGGTGCTTTAGGTGCCAGTAAGTTGACAAATGGCCCGGGGCCAGGGACAAAGTGAACGACATGAACGCTAAACGACCGAGGGATGGGGGCATGAAACCGGGTAAGCAAGCAGAGATCGTTTAGGAAAGGGCAGGCTAGTAAAGCTTCTTTAGGAAGCGCAAGAGCCAGGCGAAACCTAATTGTTGGTACAGCCGTGGATCCTAGCACGAAAATGATGTGTAAGGGTGCGAAATTTGAGGCCGCGCAAGATGGACGAGCGGGGGGCTAGGGTGTTAAACTGCTTTAGGAGCCAGATGTGTATCCTGGGTGGGATTGGGCTTAGGCTTCGGTTGGGCTTAAACCTGGCTTATACTTAGGCTTAGGCTTAGGCTTGGGCTTAGCTTAGGCTTAGCTTAGGCTTGAGCTTAGGCAGGCGGCTTAGGAGGCAGGCTTAGGCTTAGGCTTAGGCTTAGGCTTAGGCTTAGGCTTAGGCTTAGGCTTAGGCTTAGGCTTAGGCTTGGGCTTAGGCTTAGGCTTAGGCTTAGGCTTAGGCTTGGGCTTAGGTCTAGCCAATCTTGACGACCCTCTAAAGGAAAAAAATACCGAAAAATTTGAAGCTCGTCTCGACGGCATCGTCGTCGAGGTGGAGGACCGTGTCGGCGTCGTGGCCGATCGAGACGCTGCTACCTGAAAATCTTCCTGAAAAGAAAAATTCGTGGAGAGTAATAAATTGCAACTTAGACGTTGGTAGACGTACCACTCCTCTGTACGGGTCGAGGTGACAGCAGGGAGGGGCTCCGGATACGGTAGGTGCACTCGGTGCTGACCTAAGAAAGAGGAATATCAAAATTAGTGCTGGATCAAGAGAGAGAGAGAGAGAGAGAGAGAGAGAGAGAGAGAGAGAGAGAGAGAGAGAGAGAGAGAGAGAGAGGGAGAGGGAGAGAGAGAGAGAGAGAGAGGAGAGAGGGAGAGGAGAGAGAGAGAGAGAGAGAGAGAGAGAGAGAGAGAGAGAGAGAGAGGAGGGATCGCTCACCTCGGCATCGCCCAGCAAGGCGATCAGCTCTGAATTCATATCGTCATTCCTCTCTGAAACAAGTTGATGTAAAATTATTCGGCCAAAGGGACGCAGAAAGGGAAAAATCATGCTAGCCGTCCATTCCCAAACAATCTCTGCTAGCCTGCCCTTTCCTAAAGAATCTCTGCTAGCCTCCCACCTGAAAATGATGTTCCAAAACGCCACCGAGTCTCTGACCTCGATTTGAGTATCTAATCCGTTTCGGCGGATCGGCCAGGGCATGGGGGCATTTTGTGTAAATTGAGAAGACAAACGCAAATAGTGTTTGTGCCGCTTCTCGGCAGCACTCAACTTTTTCCCCCCGTGTCCCCTGGTTGCCCCTTTCCTAAAGAATCTCTGCTAGCATGCCCTTTTCTAAGAAAACTCTGCTGGCTAGCCGGCTTCAAAATCAATTCTAGACTTTAGAAAAAATGAAAAAGTTGCTACTACTAGTGGTGCGCGAAAGGAACGGTATCGGAATGCGATCTATTTGCTTAGGGTCGGGTCGGGGGTTTCTTTTTCGTTTGAGTGTGGTTAAAGTGATGGTCGTCGCTAGGTTGGTAGCATCTCTCCCCGTCTCTCTCGCTCTCTCTCTCTCTCTCTCTCTCTCTCTCTCTCTATCTTTTGCTCTGGCCTCTTTCTTTTTCTGTCTCGCTCTCTATCTCTCTCACTGTCTCCTTCTCGCTCTCTCTCGCTCTACCTCGCTCTCTTGCTCTCTCTCATTTCTGCCTCTCTGTCTCGCTCTCTCTTGTTCCCTCTATTTCTCCTTCACTCTCTCTCTCTCTCTCACTCTGTGATTATTCAAATTTTTGCGTACTCAGTTTTATTTAAGAAAAATCCATTTATTTTAGTTTTGACAATTATAACCACAAATTCTATATTTTTACTTGTGTAAATCATATGCACAATGATGAATTATGCCCCGAATCACACAAAAAGCCAAAAAAAAACGGGAGAGGGACCGGAATGCAAACACACGTAGCGGGGGGTGGAACACCACGGGGAATGGGAGTGGAAATGCACCTTGAAAACATCAAAAAATCTAAACAAGGTTCGAAAAGCGTACGGGCCCGTAGTGGAGCGGAATTTTTAGGAAAAATTAATTTTAAAAATGGTTTAAACTATTAAAAGGATTGAAAAACTGAAAATTCAAATTTTGAGAAGAAGGTGAAAAAGAACCGTTGATTTCAATCCCTTTAAATTTTAAGCTACTGTATTGTTGAAAATTGTGCTTTCAAAACCCGCAAATCGGAATTACAGTAACGACAGTACTACAAAAAAGGAAAAAAAATCTACATTTTAAAGGGCTGGTAAAGCTCGGCGGATTTATGCTAAAAGTGAGGAAGAAATTAATCTTTTTTGCAAAATTTCGGGGAATATTTTGAAGCAAAGACTACAGTAAGACGCTCCGGCTACCGTAGTCCGCCCTCTAGTCAACGGTGCGGTGTCGGAAAACGGATGGTTGATTCGGAGGGCGATCCGGGGACTTTGGGAGGCTTTCGTCGGAATCGAGATGGGTAACGACGTGGATTCCCTAAAAATAAAGAACTAGGCGTTTCCTAAAGAATTTCCGCTAGCCTGCCCTTTCCTGCAGAATCTCTGCTAGCCTGCCCTTTCCTCAAGAATCTCTGCTAGCCTGCCGCTCCTAAAAAATCTCTGCTAGTCTGCCCATTCCCAAAGAAACTTTTCTAGCCTGCCCTTTCCTCAAGAATCTCTGCTAGTCTGCCCTTTCCTAAAGAATCTCTGCTAGCCTGCCCTTTCCCAAAGAATCTCTGCTAGCTTCCCAATCCCTCAAAATACCTCATTCTCATCGCTGCTCCGCGAGATTCCCTTTTTACGATGCCTCGAGGTGTGCGGAAGATCCATCTCGCTGTCCCGATCGCGCTCCAGCTCCGTCAGCTCGCAGTCCGCCATGACGCCATTGTTTTCGAGCTGCAAATTTGCGCCTAGCAAGACTTTAAAGGCGCAGTGAAAGAGGTACGAATTTTCCTAAAGAGTCTCTGCTAGCCTGTCGCTTTCCAAAGAATCTCTGCTAGCCTGCCCTTTCCATACCTCAGTCATAGAGCCGGGGTGATGCGATGAGGACAGCTTTGGCCGTCTCGGGAGTTGGACCTGCGGGATGCTCAGCTGGCTATCGTCGAAGGAGTGTTTCGTCTCGTCTTCTTCGGTGATGGCTCCGCCTGTCATCTGGAAAAGAATTTTTAATGGAATTTTCCAAGGGCCCGGGAAGGCGGAGAGAGCGAGAGGGACCGAGAGAGAGAGAGAGAAAGAATTTTTCCGTCTTAAAGGGACTATGACATCAAATTTACCTCATCGTCGCTGTCCCGCTTCCTCAAGTCGGCGGCCAGGCTGATCGAGTCGGTGATGGTGGTGTATTCGTCGTGATGGCGCCGCCGGAACGACATGCTAAAACTGAGGATTAGCGAGAGAGAGAGAGAGAGAGAGAGAGAGAGAGAGAGAGAGAGAGAAAGTGAGTGAGTGAGAGAGAAAACCCAAAAACCAACCTGATCGTGTCCCTCCTCGGCAGGTTCGGGGCTGTTCACGTTGAAGAGCGGCTGGGTGGGCCCCAGGTTCGAGAGAGCCGACTTTAAAGGGATCGTGAAGTGCCGGGGAGAGGAGACCAGAATCTGCATCGATGTTGAGGGATGGTCCTGGAATCAGAAGCGTTTTAAAGGGACTGGGACAGCCCTAGCCGAAGCCTAAGCCTAAACGATCCAACAATTCGACTAAGCACCAACCCGAGTACGTCGTAGTCCTCTTCCTCGCCCTCGTGCTCCCCTCGCGTTCGAGCAGGAGCGGATGCGTGGTCGTACTTTGTACACCGGCCGACTGGGGGGCCTCATCTTGGGTGATGCTCTCCTTGAGCCCGGGGATGATGAAGGAATGGGCGGGTGATAGGCCAGCGGCACGTTGGCCGCCCTGCAGGGCCTGGATGATGACCAACGGCAGCGAGGTGGTCAGCTGGCGGATCATGTCCTTGAGTTCGCCCTGGAGAGAGGGAATTAAAGGAAGAGAGAGAGAGAGAGAGAGAGAGAGAGAGAGGGAGAGAGAGACAGAGGGAGAGAGGGTTAGAGAGTGGGGGGAAGACAGAGAGGGATAAAGAGCGAGACGGAGAGAGAGAAAGCTATAGAGAGAGAAACAGAGAGAGATAGAGAGAAACAGAGAGAGATAGAGAGAAACAGAGAGAGAGAGAGAGAGAGAGAGCGAGAGAAAAACCGAAAACCTACAATCTCCCCCTCCATCATCTCCACCCGCGCCTCCATCCCTCTCATATCTTCTCGATGCACCTGGTCCTTCGCCGCCATGTCGTTAATCCTGGCGAGCATCAGATCGGTCCTAAAAATCACGTAAAAAATCGAAATGGCGCCGACGACTTCGGCAAGTTCAGCCGGCTCAACCTTACCTCTCAGACGTCCTAAAAATCAGCCGATCGTTGCTGCTGTTCCGCGCGTGATCTTTCAGCCGGCCCAGCTCCTCCATGCAGTCCTCCTCGAAGTCGTGCAGTTTTTCGACCTGAAAAATTAGATTGGTGGTGTAGAAATTTGCAAAGAATCACCGCCAGCTTACCTTTTCCTAAAGAATCTCCCTTAGCCCGCCATTTTCTAAAGAATCTCTGCCAGCCTGCCCTCACCTGATCAGCCTTCAAAAACAGCTTGAGCGAGAAGTCGAAGACGTCCCTTCTCGTCATCCACCGACGACGGGAGATTCCGCCTCTTTCCGGCACCATCTCCTCACATATTTGAGCAGCATCCACAGGTGCCAGAAGAAGGTGGCGGCGGCGGGAAGAAGGGGAAATCGACTCGTACTCCATCACCTGGAAGGTTATGGGATTTGGGGAAGCCTAAACCTAAGCCTAAGCCTAAGGTAAAAGCTAAGTCCCAGTCGAAGCCGAAGCATAAGCCTCAGCCTAACCCAAGCCAAGCCTAATCCTAAGCTCCACAAACTTCTGTCTGTGCGCTGGAAGAGGCCAGATCTGCTACGAGAACTCCTCGGTTTGGTCGAAGAGTGACTAAAAAGGAACTTTTAGGGAAATTTAGCACTTCAATAATTTTTGGGGCATCAGATTCAGCAAGGTGAAAAATTCTACATCAAAATTGTTTTCAAAAATTCAAGACGGTTACAGTGAGCGGAAAAATCGAGCGCAAGCGAATTGAAATCGCTTGAGCCGAATTTTTTACCATCAGGTCGATTCAAAGAGTTTTTGAAAAGGCGGGGATGCGTGCTCAGAATTTGCCACGTACTTGAACGTGGCGTCCAGCATGCTCATCAACAGCACGTTGGCGATGAGGAGGAAGAAGGTCATGATGATGGGCGGGATCCAGTGGCCGAGGACGCAGTTTGACGTGTTGTTGCCGGTGTACTGCCACAGGAGGTGCCGTCTTCCAGGTGTGATCCCAGGCTGGAA